GGGCCGGAGCCATTCACTACCCAGCACGACCCAGACAGCTTCAGGCCCTACGTGCCCCGCCACCCCACCCTCAGACAGGGGGCCGTCAACTCCTTGTGAACCAAAAGTTGGGATCGCGGGCCTCCTGCGTGCGAGTGATCAGCCACGGCCTTCTGTCAACACCACAGCTAGTGTTCACTGGGCTCAACGGCGATGGCTACGCAGTCGATCAGCACACCAAAATCAGTGCATCCTGCTCAATGACACGCGGGGACTGATGTCTCAACCTCTACATCTATCCCACTTCAAACCTCCTTTTCACATTTCTCATCATCTGCACAAATCCGACAACACGCAATCCCTTCATAATTCCCCCATCTCTTCCAGCCCCTACACCCCCTCCCTATCTCTGTAACCCCCTCCAGCCCCTACACCCCTCCCTATCTCTGTAACCCCCTCCAGCCCCTATAACCGCTGTTATGTTCAGGTCTCCTCCAGCCACAAGTACCTGACCCAGAAACTTCCTCCAGGACGCTGGACTAATGTCGAATTCATGGATTCATCTTGTTCCACTAGAGCTGAAGTCTTTGTCTGATCTGGCTAATCTGTAGAATCTATTTTGACAGCACCCCTCTGAGGGAACCAAAACTACTCGAAACAGTTCCTACTCAGCAACTTACTTCGATTCAATTATCCCTCCCTCCCCGAGCCTTCTCTGAGGAGAACACCGCCAGGGTCTCCAGTCCATCCACATGAACTGAAGCCCATCGATCCCAGGATCGTTCTCCCTTTCCACCCCCATTCCTCTCCAATACCTCGAAGTCCTTTCTAAAAGAGGCGATGCAGACCTCCCAATATTCCAGCTGCAGCTGTGCCAGTCATTCACAAAAGCTCGGACATATATTGCAAATCACCAGCGTTAGAGATGGACATTGTGTGGGGTTGTCCTGCTCTGCGCTGACTAATATTTGAGGTATTGCCGAGTCATTCCCTCGACAGGGAGACCGAGAATACAAACGCAGAAACTGCTGACCTCAGCCTTCAGTGTGCTCCTTCCACATCCTCCATGGCTTCCCTGCAGTCACCTCATTACTCAGCTCCATGAACATTGCTGAGGCATGCAAAACCGACTCTTTGTTCAGGCTGAGGGTCTAGACCCGAAACGTCAGCTTTCCTGCTCCTCTCATGCTGCTTGGCCTGCTGTGTTCATCCAGCTCTACACCTTGTTGTCTCATTGTTCAGGCCTTTGGCTTCCTGCCATCTCAGCCCCTTTGTCAGCTTACAGTCAAACCTCGATAAAACCTTCAACACTTCAGGGTGACCCTCAGTTTTCCAATGCTAACACTGTCTGGAGGAAAAGCTGCACTGTCGGAGGGTCAGCGCTGAGGGAGCGCCGTGCTGTCGGAGGGTCAGTGCTGAGGGAGTGCTGTGCGACAGAAATGTGGATGTTGTTTAGGAAGCAGTTGCTACAAGTACTTGATAGGTTTGTTCCAACGAGGCAAGGAAGGGATGATAAGGTAAAGGAACCTTGGATGACAAGACTTGTGGAACACCTAGTCAAGAGGAGGAAGGAAACTTAAGGTTGAGCAAGCAAGGATCGGACAAGGCTCTAGATGTCTACAAGGTAGCCAGGAAGGAACTGAAGAATGGACTTAGGAGAGCTAGAAGGGACTACGAGAAAACCTTGGCGGATAGGATCAAGGAAAACCCCAAGGCGTTCTTTGCTTATGTGAGCAATAAGATGATGACCAGAGTGAGGGGAGGGCCAATCAGGGATATTGGAGGGAACTCGTGCGCGGAGGCAGAGGAGGTAGGGGAGGTCCTCAATGAATACTTTGCTTCAATATTCACCAGTAAGAGGGGCCTTGACATTTGTGAGAACAGCATGA